ATAAATACGATAATTTTTTATTTAATAATAAAAACTTTGATTCGTTGAATGATCGACATTAAATTTCCGGTAATATATTGTAGGGGTGTGTATATAAAAATTATAAAGAATACAGAGTTTATGATGTTTTTAAAGTTTATAAAAATTATAGAAATTATGAAAATTTCTAATCATAACACTATTTTTATAGGCTTTAAGTTTCTGACATGCTAATTATGTATTTCTATTAATTAAGAAATAAAAAAGACTAAAAACTTATTATTAAAGTAGATAATGTATATTTATATTGTGATGAGCTAGAATGATGTTCAATAACTTTATCAAGTTTTATATATTTATTTAGAACTTCAAAAGTTATAATACAAATAATAAATTTATCAAGTGATTGTTTTTCAAATCAATAATAATGATTTATTATAAGTGATCTATCTTTTAAGATCAAAAACCAATACAAATATAATTTTTAAGAGTTATTTAAAGTTTCTATTAAACAAGAAACTTCTTAAGTTATTAATTACTTTTTCTAAGCTAAGATATATAATATATTTATATAAATTACATGTTATATGATATAACTGGTTTTATTGTTGTTGTCACTAATTTAATTAAATACAAATGTTATCAGCATTTCTAATGTTAACACAAGTGTTGATGTCATTGTTGTCATTAACACAAGCATTGTTAATATTGCTAGTGTTGCTGGTATTAACACAAATCTAAGAACCAATAATATTTAAAATAATTTTCCAATAAAATAACAGCTATCTAAAAATAATTATCCAATAGAAATATAATCCAATAATAATTAATATCTTCATTATTCAATAGAATTGTTCATCAAATGTTATATTATGACAATATAACTTCTTAAATATTCATTCTAAATATTAACTATCTTATACCAATTTGTAGCTCTGGTTAAGATCTACAACTTTACTTAAAACATCAAACATTTACTTGAACTCGAACCGGACTTTTGGTCTGGTTCAAGTCTGGTTTGAATTTTCGAACCAGACTTTTTTTCGGAACTCTAATCAACTCCAGAAAAAAAGAAATATCATAAAGATGAGTCCCGAATGGAAATGTCTTCACAGATATTTTTTTAACCAACCTCTCAAAGTATCAGATGAAATTCCAAGCTTCTTAGTTGTTTTATAGCAGATAAATACATGAGAAAAATTCTAATTCGGAAAATATAAGGATTTTTGATTTTTTTATTAATGTTAATAAATCTAATAACTAATTAAAAATTTTATGCGGCACCATTCTTATAAATCTCGATCATTGATCATCACTAAATTTATTCTGTGTTTTTGGACAAAAAATGGTTTTGTCTGTACCGAGATTCATAATACTCGTTGCACTCTTTAGTAATGTATTCTGGTCATGTCTTTTAAAACATGAGATACTATACGTTTCCTCACTTGAAGTTATCGCACATATCGGTACGAAAAGACCGTATCCCATTGTTACGGATACTTCTCCTCCACTCCAGGTGCCCGAAAACTGTGAATTAAAACAATTGCATTTGGTTTCACGTCATGGTATTTAAATAACAATGATGATACATCAATATAGCATATAGATATTCACGTGATATATATATATATACAGGTGCCAGGTATCCTACAGCCGGAGACATTATAAAATTTGATGTATTGAAAATCTTGTTTGCGAGTTTTTCTCATGATTCTGAAGAAATGTCGTGGATAAAAAGTTGGGTAAGTATCTCTTTTAAATACATAATTATGTAAATATTCAGTAGATGAATTTAATTTTTAAAACCATCAGAAAAATCCGTTCAAAATATCATCAGCCGGATTACTTTCGCACGACGGCGAAAAAGAATTATATCTGATGGGTAAACGTTCAAAAAGTCGATACCGAGAGTTTTGGGAGAATATCACCTATGCATCGAATTTGGTAGACTTTTCTAGTTCTGCTGCTCCCAGGTATCTATATTTCATCATTTCTACTGTTAATATTAAAACTTCCGTTTATATTTGAAATTCAAAAAAAATCGATTTATTTTTGAAGATCTGGGCAATCTGGATTTGCGTATGCTCTTGGATTATTCGAAGGGCAAGGATCTCTCGGTAATTCTTCATTACAGTCTGTCTATATACATACCGAACCAACGGTAAAATAAAATAATAATACCATGTGTATAGATTGATTGGCTCAGATTCAAGTTGTCTTATTTTATAATATATACTTAATTAGGGACTTGATAAAGAACTAGCCATGAAAAAGGCTTGTCCGAAGTGGCTTTCCACTGTAGCAAGAAGGAAAAACCATGAAATAGTCACATACATCAAAGAAAAATTATCACCGATCGCTGATCGAATTAATCAAAAACTAGGAATCACGCCACCACTCGAACCCATTCATGTTGATTATATACATCGAGCTTGTGGATTTGAAGTGGCTTTCTTTCGAAATACCACCACCTGGTGTAGTCTATTAACTGACACCGATCTACTGACAATGGAATATTTCAATGACATACAACATTATTACTTGTATTCTTATGGCAATCGATTGAATTCTTTGTTGGCTTGCCAGTTGATCACGAGTTTTGTGCATGCAGTTGATGATGGACTCGCTGGAAAATCTGAAATTAAAAGTGTTTTGAGATTCGCTCACGCAGAGACAATCTACTTTTTAATGACATTATTGGTGAGTGTTTATTATAATAATCTTTTTCCTAAAAATCTTTAGAATTTTAATAACTTTTTTATCTTATTCAGAATATGAATAAAGATGAACATTTACTCAAAGCCAACGATCCACAAAAAAAAATAGCATCACGTAAATTTCGAGCGAGTTTAATCCAACCATTTGCGACAAATATTTATTTTGAGATTTATAAATGTTCCTCAACGACTATTAAGAATGAAAAATCAAGAAACCAACGACGACGACTCTTATCAATCGAGAATTATAATTACAATGACAACGACGAAGTATTTATACAACTAAGGTATAATGAACAACCTACACAGATCCCTGGGTGTGAAGACGATGATAAAAATGACCGCACTCAACTTTTTTGTCCATGGTCGAAATTCAAAAAAATATTGGATAAAGTCATTGGATGCGATTTTGAAGGAATTTGTCGGATAAAGAAACGGGTGAAATCATCTATTCAAGAAAAACATTTCCATTTCGATTGAAGGATCAAAAAACAAAGGCATTATGTAACTCGGCTGATACAAACCATTTATTTATGTTTGCGATAAAATTCTCAATATTAATTTATTTATTCATCTACAGTGGCCAAATGTTTTGCATCACAAAAAATAAAATTGTAAATTCAATAACATTACATACAAACATCTGAAACTCACAAATTCCGACGCATATTGTTTATCAAATTTTGCAAAACATGTAAATATAATTCTTTATTTAGTTAAATTGAAACAATCGATGCAATTTTACATGATGCGTTTTTTTTGACTTTACGATGCAAATAATTTAAAACCGATATTTAAATAACTAACGACTAAAAATTTACGAAATTTAAATAAACTATTC